TTCATCTTCCTAAAAGTGACCAAACCCTTTCAATAACCATAAGAACAACAGGTGTTCGCGGAGTGAGTGATTGAGTATGGTATTACGCCGCCTTTAGCAATATTCCAGCAATACGACAGCAGGGGACACCAGAAATGGTCTACACACATTGTACCCATGTCGGGAAACGAACCCGGGTCTGCGGCGTGACGAGCGAATGCTTTAACCACTGGGTTACCTGACCGCCCCAGGGGGGTTCGCGGGAAGGTAAGTGTATCCTGACCCACTGATGGCATCCGACACAAACGCGTGCAAAGGCAAGTCACGCAATCACCTAATATATACGATAACATAGGGAATTGTATCGGACATAAATGGTTGTAAAATCTTAACAGTCCTTCATATTTCGATAGCTTTACTAAAACCTTGAATGTTGTAACTCTGATCACACAATCTTTGAGGCATGTTGAAATCTTCACAGAGAGCGCATGCTTGATTGTATCTCACAAGTTACCGGATGCCGACACCAAGGGCTTGAGCTGCTACAATATTTGCTCAACATAAAGTTTGGCTGGTTGGTTTGTTGTTTAACGCCGCACTTAGCAATATTCCAGCTATATGACGGCGGTCTGTAAATCATCGAGTCTGGACCGGACAATCCAGTTATTAACATCATGAGCATCGATCCACGCAATTGGGACCGATGACATGTATTAACCAAGTCAGCGAGCCTGTCCACCCGATCCCTTTAGTCGCCTTTTATTACAAGCATAGTCACCTTTTACGGCAAGCATGGGTTGCTGAAGATTCTTGAAGGGAGTTAAAGTACTGTAACATTATTGTCCCCCTGAAAGAGTGCGTAAGTTCCACATCATTCAAAGTACATTTGGGTCTACCCCATTTTTAATCGTAGCATATTTGTTAGTTTTAATTGATAGCTACAATTGCCTATAATCGCCAGCGGCTGACGGCATGGTGTAAATCCTGCTGGGGGGCCGTGAAGGAAGCAAAATTATTGTAAGCCCCCACGGTCCCTAGTATGGTGGCCTAACTTTGGATGCTGGCGATCTCTAGCTCGTTTTTATCATGTATTATTATGCATTGTAATAACGTTTTATCCTTCCATACTAGTTTTAAATATGTCTGTGACACTCTAGTTATTTTACAGTCCTTTGCTGACAGGTATTTTAGAAAGTTTACACATATTTTGTATGGATGTTTAAATTGTTGTAGTCACGATATGGCTGAAATACTGCGGATGTGACTGTAAATCTTAACTCACTCACTCACTCTTTGACAATCTTATGTGGTGGTGAGGCTTCCTACCACATGTTGCATCAACCATTCGTCGGAGGAAACATTTGCCTGAAGGTCCGGGGTTCGATCCCCGGCCGCGTCATACCAAAAGACGTTAAAAGAGGTACTTGTTATTACCCTGTCTGGCGTTCGGCATTAAGGGGCTAAAACAAGGACTGGTCGGCTCGGAGTCAGTATACTGTGTCTGAGTGGGATATTCATGTTAAACTGCGGCATGATATCTCAGTGTGCTAGCACTATAAATCGGTATCAGTCCTGACTAGTACAAGCAGCCACACACACACATACACGTGCATGCACGTCGCTATATAAGTGCAATAATCTTGGACGCGACGTTAAACCCAATTTCACCTCACCTCACCTCACCAATAGCTAGCAGTTCGCGTAGCACCCAGATCAAACTGGATGAAATCTGGAAAATACTGTCTTACAAATGATAACCATGTTTCCGTCAATCCTATGAAGTCAATGTGTTCGACAAAGAACAGAAAATCAAGGTCTCGCAGTTTACTTTGAATTTCAGAGACCTTCAAAAATATGAAGCTAACAGTGTTAAAGGTAACAGGCTGAGATCGATGACTGATGTGGTTGCCATGTCCACACACCTATTTTATTCTCATAGGATACCGTGTTCTGTGAAGTAGAGGATTCCTTCTAAGAGATCCCAACTATATCTTTGGGTGTACTTCTCGATGGAACTTGATAGGAATCGACAATTACACGAATCTTGGAGCATATTTACCTTGTCTCTGAGAATTGCCAGGCCACCTGTGTCATCTGTATTTTCACGTTCATCTTCTGGTTTATTTTGCCTTTCATAAAATGCATCAATGTCCAGTCTCAAAGTTTCCTGTTCATTTCAATAGATCAATATAAGCTTTTAGTTCATTGATATACTTGTTCAACTGTTGAGTGTCAAGTTCTATGTCTTTAATGTCTTTCGAAAGATCACACTTAACTGAACGAAGTTCGTCTAAAATCTCCGATTAAACTGACGTCAATTCGGTGCATTCAGAGCAAAATGGGCCTTGGTTACTCTCAATATCCAAACTAAGTAATAGTTCCTCAGATAATTGATATATAGATTTACTTACGGACATGATGCTACAGAGGACCATGCCTGTGACGAAAAGCCGATAGCGAACACTGTCCCATGACATCACTTCAAGTACAGGGTAGATGGCTGCATATGGCCGACTTGACGGGTTCCTCTAAGCAGGCAAAAAGTACCAACTCACATCCTCCAACCCGCAATCCTCCACTGTTATACCCATTTTAACGATAGGATATCCAGGATATAAAAATTGAACAGTCCTTTATAGTTTTATAGATGACAAAACTTTGAATGTTTAACTCCCTGGTCACACAACTTTTGACGAAGGTTGAAATCTTCGTAGAAAGGGCATGCTCGATTGTACCTCAAATTTCGTGGAATGCTGACTCCATTGGCTGGAGCTGCTGCAATTGTGCTGGAAAAGTTGGAAGACCATTGGAATGTGGAAGGCATCTCTTTTGTGTGGATACATTTGTACATTGCTTTTCTCCTCTTCTGTTATCGTGAGGCAGGGCGTCATTCTCAGTCCTGTTCCTCTCCTTATACCTATACAAGCTGTTGTAGTGGGTGTAACATCACGTATAGATTTTACCTAATGTTCTTTACAGATACCACCATCCTATACTTTTCGACAGCCTAATCTTCAGGCCCTTTATGACCAACTTCCTAAACCCTGTGTTATCATGGGAGATTTAAATGCCATAACCCACTTTGGGGGTAGAAATGACAGCATTTCTTCTTAAATAACGACTTATCCTTTTGAAATGATGCTTCTGAAACATATCTGCATCCTGCAACTGAAATGTACCCGTGTGTGGATTTGTCAGTTGTAGATTCTAATTTACTGAGTGAATTTGAATGATCAGTCCACAATTACCTTTGTGGAAGTGACCACTGTCTTACCTTTTTAAAATCTGTGACACCATCTGATGTACCTCCGTCATCGAACAACGACTGCAAACAAGCTAGGGGGTAAGGAAAAAGGCTGAACAGTATTTCCGACGCCATCCAATGGTCCAAAATTGTAAATGCTACAACTCGACTGAATTTTGTAGGAGACATGTTAGTAATTTCCTGCTGTAACGACATGTTGTTGTTGCATAGTCGTTATTTTGCTGTTTGTGACATACAATTGAGTTAGCAAATCAGTACATTCTGATTATTTGTAAAGCTCAAGTTAGCTTAACAGCACTGCAGGGGTACTAAGTCGAGTTAGTGACTGAGTTTGTTTTAACGCCTCTTTGAATGATATTACTCGTATAACTATGCCACTACCTTTAAGCTTAATATGGGAAGAAAGCCTGAAGTGATATACGTCCAAAACGTTAACCACTTTGGTGGAATGCAAGAGCATGGCTAAGATGCTGACACATCTAGAAACATAATCGGGCCGAACCAGGTTTCGAACCCACGATCATAGGTTTCTATCACACCTATGGGAAGCAACTCTGCACAGCGAATTGCGGCATCTTTGACGAGTCCAACAAGTTGAAAATGTAAGTTAGTAAGTTAATGTACTATTTTATTGCTATTTAAATGTCAATGTCACATAATAGCTGGACCAATGCAATTTTACTAACTGAAGTGCAAGAAACCATCTAAATCTAGACGACCATACAATTTCATAACATTCTATATATTAGTGTCGACTGATACACTATATATCCAAGGCAACAAATTCGAGTTGCGACCCTATGCCGTCCTAAAAAGCTGGCTGTGTCATGTCAGTGGGTTATATAGGAGACTACATCTTTACTATATTTTCAGGTTTACTTGACTGTTCAGAAGTAGAGAGCTGACTTCAACATTTATTCGTATTTTACATTGTATATGCATCCTATGTTTTCAGAAATCATTCTGGTTTAAAATGAGGTAATTGGAAGAAATATAAGAAAGTTATTTCAAGAAAGTTATGACTGTTAGAAGGCCACCGTTAAGTATATATTCTACATTAGTGATCGTTTATTGAAGTGAAGTAACTGTTGACCTTTATAAAGCAATATGTCACCTATAAACTCAATTCTCTTGCCATTATGGATACATTTTCATAACTTTCAAAACTACATTATTCAACAACTTTTATCGAAGTGCACAGAGTATATATTCTCTCCTGACGTACATCTCAATCAAAATACAATAATATTAGCAAAATATTGCTTTAATGTACTTTCATGTTACGACACCTTTAAAGAGTAAAGATCTGAGATATCCTACTTCAAAATTTATCGCATATACATTGATTACATACTAATGCCTATGGCTCACAAACTCTGTGTATATTGCAGGAAGTATAGATGCAAATAATACCCCTGATTTGTGAAAAAATTGTCCATTAACAATGTTTTTCAAATACTCAACACTGAGTTTATTAGTACAGTTTCCATGACATTACCATGTCCACTGCTGGTGCGTGTTTCTTGACAGAAATAACTTAAAACATTTGTTTATCAAGCGCCATCTCCAAAGGATGTACTCCTGACATTATTTCCCCGTTTAATGGATCCGTGTGCACATATATTCCAGCCAATGTGGCAGTGTACAATCCAATCAGAGTCACTGTAGTAACCTGAGCAACTGCTGAGATACAATAACGCCCACATATCATTATCAATACATGACATTGCAGTCATCACCACTGAACACTGAAATCATGTTTTTCAAGTCAGCAAGAACGCTGTCTTTACTCATCGCCATATTTGGCGCATGTATCTCTAATACAACCCAGTCCACATTAAGGAGACTGAAGACATATCTCCAAGGGCACACCGCTACAGCTGGCATTGCTGTTCAACTCCAGGTTGACAAACAGGTCAACATAAGTTTGTTGCCAATGTCCATCTCCAATCTCAATGCTGCCGAGCAGACATTCAGCTTCAGTGCCGGTGTCTCGATGAAATGGTTCGACCACAACCTAGCTTGGAACAAAACTGAGTATGATGATATTGAAAATGTGATCATCTCGGAAGACTCCGTGTGGACACCTTCCGTGATCATCCCGAACGGTGTTGACAACGTCGTACCGGGCTCAGAACTATCTCCTGAGATTCAGAGTAGAGGCAAAGCAAAGCAACTAATCGTTGAGAGTTTCAAGACCAGTTGTCAAATAGACATCACTCTGTACCCGTTTGACCAGCAACGATGTAGCATCCTGTTCATGCCTGTCAATAGTTTCAATTTCGGACTATATACGACTGGTTCTATAATGGACACTCTACCGACTTTCTTCATTGAGAACAGTGAATGGGAGTTGGTTGACATACATGCCAAGGTTATGGACCCCCAACTGATATTTTTATCAAGATTTGCATCGTTTGAGTTTCTCCTGAAACGCAAGAGCATGTTTTATATAGTGAGTATCATCTTTCCTATGGCTCTTCTCTCTCTGCTCAACGCCTGTGTGTTCCTCCTACCAGCTGACTCCGGAGAGAAGATGTCCTACCTCATCTCAATATTTGTGTCCTATGCAGTGTTCATGAACTTCGTCAATGACTCGATCCCCAAGTCTGGAGACGTGTGTCGACTGTCTGTGTACCTGACCCTCATCCTCTGCCAGAGCTGCCTGACCATCATCACCACAATGGCCAGACTCAACGTCCGCAATAATGGTCTCCTATTTCAGACCAAGACGGACGTACAGGCAGCAAACGACAATTCAAACACGACCAGCACTCAACGAACGAGTGTAAAATCTGCGTCAAACGTCCGCCGCGCAGACTACGTTCTGTTCGGCATGTTTCTGCTTCTGGCACTGATGTCCCTGCTGGTGTTTTGCGTATAAGACAGCATTCGTCTGGAGCTCAACATCCAATTCCCCCAACTGTGTGATGGAAGGTCTGTGGTGTAATTATCATTTATTCAAATGAACATAGAGTTATTCAATGACATGTAGTGATTCCTTCAGTAATTATTCTCTCTGTGATCAATGAGTGAGTGAGTTGGGTTTAACGCTACTTTTAACAGTATTCAAGTTAAATCACGGCGTGTCAGTTTAATTTTGGAGGAAAACCCGAAGTGATGCAGGTCTCAGACGTTAACCACTTCGGTAAAACCCAAGAGCAATGGTATGGTGCTGACAACCCTAGAAACATAATCGGGGCGAACCTGCATTCAAACCCACAATCATAGGTTTCTGGCATGCCTACGGGAAGCAACTCTGCTCAGCGAATCGCGGCGCCTCAGACGACAGGGGCCACCCGTGCCCCCTGGGATCAATGACATGAGTGTAGATGTGTGTGACGGAGATTCTCCTGTTGCCTTCAATGTGACTATTTGACCCATGTGCTGACAGTCAATATGTTGTGCTAATTTTTTGTTGAGATTTCGAATTTTCTAGGGACTTTAGGGATATTCCTAAATCAATTTTACCTGACAGTGAATGTTTTTAGTGACAGGCTGTATATAATTGAATGCTTTTCCACATGCAACTTTAGTCATTTGAGTAAATTATGTCTCTGTGACAAGTCATTAAAATACAGACGACCTTTGGGAAATGGAAAACTTCATGAAAGTGCAGTGGTCACGTACTTACAGAAAAAGATCTTAATACCAAAAGCCATCAATGAAGATGTGAGTACAAAACTTAAGTAGATGGATCCTTCTTATGCCAACGTAGAGAGCGAGACAGCAGCGTTGAATGGGGACAGGAAGAGCGTGATCAGCTCGTCGTTGGTTTCTAAAACTATTGACATCTGTTGAAAACCGCACCAGGCACAACAGGTCTCATGATAACCTGGCTGTCTTTGAATCTGATACGGAAAGGTTTTGTAATGATTTGTAACTATGTGTCATAGCGACTGATTTAAACACCAATTGTCTGAAGAACATTTAATTGCAAAGGCTCATTACCCTGGAGCCATGACATCTATATGCCTTGAAACACTTAATTGCTGTTATTTATAAGATGCTAATCCTAATTGTTAATCCCAATTTTTGTGTACATCGACCGTCTGCCATCCTGCTGATGAATTACTGTTTACATTTATATTTATTACTTACTAAATGTCAGGTGACCTTGGCTATATAAGCCTTGGTCCAGAGAGGACGAACAAAAAGAAAGCTCTTACCCTTAGCCTAGCTAGGGTTAGGCTGGGTGCTCCGGGGCACCTAGACAACAACCACTACCACTACGTGCTGACCTGGCACAGTGTCTTTTGTATGTATATATATTTACATGTATAAAGTAAAACTGTATATACCGCAAGCCATCGTCTCCAAGTTGTTACTTCCTACTGAGAACCATACGTCGGCCCCTTGCATATACGAGTATGCAAATTATTCATTAATCAATGTCAGACCAGACACGCGTGGTAATATGGATGAAGCCTGCGTTCACATATTCCAGCCTGATTAAAAAAAACCAATTAAAACCGTACTAGCATTTGGCATCTCCACTACCAAAGAAGGCAATACCACATCAGCTCAAACTGGCATTCAAACCCACAATCATAGGTTTCTGGCGTGCCTGTGGGACGCAACTCTGCATAGCGAATTACGGCGCCTAAGACGACTGGGCCATCCGTGCCGCCCAATATGTTCTGAATCTGCATCAGTTGAAACGAGCGATTGTAAAATGTTTATCTACATGTTTAGATTGTTGTCTGGAATTACAACTGCTTGCATATCGACAACAGCGAGCAGAATGTCCTGTGCTTGAGTTGGAAATTCCGCTCATGTTTGTGCTATGGAATAGGTATTCTGCATATTGAATATCTGTTGTTTCATTAATAAATGTGTTGTAACAAATTATACCGATGTGGTCCTTCATTCCTCCAAGAGATCATTTCCTGTCTTATTGATACACATGTATATTAAGACTCTTACATTTAACACATGTTTTATTCAGCGAAAGAAAGGGGGTAAGGTGAGGCGAAATGGAATTTAAAGCGTGAATAGCAGTCACATAGCACTGGGTCTTCCCCAGTACAATTTTATGCAGAGATGTATAATGCACTGCAAAGTTTTGTTATCTGTGAAAAAACAACAAATGGCGCCACTCTGAAATATATCGATACATGTACTGTGCGACGAATACTTGTATTTGACAGTCTCTAGTAAACTTTAGGTGAACAAAATACTGCCTGATATCTCAGCGACGTATTGGAATATCAAATAGACGTGTAAGCTTATGTGGAAAGTTACATATTCGATTTGTAAAACTATAAATGAACCCGTGAAGATCCTGGTTAGAAGAGGTCTTCAGCAACCCATGCTTGCCATAAAAGGCAACTATGCGTGTCGTAAGAGGCGACTAACGGAATCGGGTAGTCAGACTTGGTTGATGCATGTCATCGTATCCTAATTGCGTGTATCGATGATCGTGATGTCAATCTAGTCCAGACTGGATTTTGTACAGACTGCCGTCATATAGCTGGAATATTGCTGAGTGCGACCTTAAACAACAAACACACGTGTGATTCATTAGCGGCGGTGTGATGTGGTCGTACTTGTCAGTTTGAGTCAGCAACCTTGCTGCAACTATTGAACACATTGTAACTTGTGTGGCTCGTTTAGGGGAATGCCTTGACCTAGAGCTTGGCATTCACTAAGCTGTCAATCAATGGCCTGTGAACGTATCGTCTAATTAATGTTGTTGCTGAGATGACAGACAGCAGAACTGCACATTGTGTGGACATCAATATCAAGACCATACCATAATAATGCCAATTATGTTAAGGGTTGACTGTGTTTTTTTTTCGGTTCATTAAGTGCCTTCTATATCGCTTATAATTAAATTCGACAACGAAAACATATAATATTTTAACCAAAAACCGTTGTTCATATCACAGCAGACAAAAATGACGAGATTGATAAACATTAATTCCAGGTGTAGGAATACATACTGTGGCGTGACATGAATCAGGTGATTGTTTAATCTATGCACATAACTTGACACGCCCACAAAGTCAGTAGCCAATCAATGGAGAGTAGGATTAAAACAAAGTTCATAGGACCTGTCAATCAAGGCAAGAGGCGAGAAGAACTGCAACAGTCAGACTGCAACGAGCCGGAACAAATATGTCCGGGAGAAGGTGTCTGTTTCAAATGACATGGTCAGTTACCGCCAGATTCGAACATTAGTTCCCTGGTTACGGGAAGACCCAGATGGAAAAATGCTAGTTAGAAATAAAACCTGAAGACATGAAAGTTAGGGAACCGAGGCCAGCGGGAAAAATAACAGTCGAGCGAGCCTGCACGTTTGCTGTTTGGTCTAGTTGTTTTATTTCCACCAACATCAGTCTTTGGAATAATTTTACATTCAGCTGTGATCAAAATATATGTTTATGTAATAATTGTTTCAGTTTTTAGATATAGTCTGATCAATTGTAAATAAGAACAGAGTTCCATTTGTTCGATCACTATACTTGAGAGAACCTGCTTGGAATGACTATATAAATATAATAATAATATATAATAATATATAATAATTATATAAACAAAGAAAAGAGCTAAGCAAGCCCTAATATATTTCATTATTGTTTGATCCCAATATTTGTAACAGTCATGAAAGATATAATTACGGGAAGTATTATGTTTTCTCGAGATGATGTAATCAGTCATGCGTGACGAAAGCTCGCGAGTCATGCATGGTATGCCCGTGCAGCATGCTACCCTCGCGTATCTCTAAAAGCAGTATATCCAAACGTTAAAATTGCTTTGTTAAACTCGGTGTTAACCAGTTTTTCCATGACATTGTGTTACCATAGCACGAAGGCGATTATCAAACGCCACAAGATGGCAAATAATCGGCATGCATAACGCAGGAATGTCTTGTAATGCCATTGGTCGGAATTTGGGGTATCATCACACTGTCCCAAGCCGTTGAGTCGAGAAACATGCTCAGACCCGTGATGTACAGGACCATCCCAGATCCGGAAGACCTCCTGTGACGACACATCGTGAAGACAGGGACCTTCTTCGTCTCATACGCTGAGAAACCCTTTTTAACAAGTACTCGCCTGAAACAGCTGTGGTTGCCCAATCATCGTTTCAGCACCAGAACCGTCAGGAACCGGCCGAAAGCAGCAGGACTGAGGGCTGGACGAGTCATAAAGCATCCCTTGTTGAAAGATCACCTTAGATTAGTATTGTGTATTGCGCGACAGAACTGGAATCTGAGAACTTGGGGACGGATCCATTGGTCAGACGAAAGTTGCTTTCTGCTCAACGGGACTGATGGAAGTACGAGAGTTGGGAGGCACCGGAACACGGCCTACACCCATGGGAACATTAAACCGAATGTTGCATATGGCGGGGGCTTGGTAGTGGGTGTATCGCTCAGGCTTGCAGGTTGGATTTGGTCACCATAAGGGGCAACCTCACAGGGACTCAGTACATCCGGTACGTTTTGAGGCCAGTCGTCGTTCCTAATTTTGACAACCACTCTCTTCCTACTCGACCTCAGTACATGGATGACAATGCCAGGCCTCATCATTCGCATACAGTCATGGATTACATGAGTGCCAATGCAATAACGACTCTACCCTGGCCAGCAATTAGCCCAGATTTGAACCCCCTTGAACATGTTTGGGATATTCTGGGGCGGCGCATACAGGCACGAGATGCTCCTGTACAAGATTTATGCGAATTGGAAGCAACACTGCATCAGGAGTGGTTGTTGTTGACCCATCAACAGATCCAACGTCTGACTAGAGGCATGAGAGGTGACGTAGGGTGGAATGCGTCATCCGGGCACATGATGGTTATAACCACTACTAATCTGTTTCACGTTTCATGTCAAGTGGAGACTTTAAGGAACATTTTCACAGAAACATCAAACGTAACTCGTATACTTAATCCTGCAGCTTCATACTTTTTTTTAGGTATTGTCTTAGGTCAAAAACAGTACCTGTGTGACCATCGTGTTTTTGTCAGTAAATTTCAATCACAACTCACCAATATCCTCTTTATTTGTTATCAAATGTTTGTTCTATCCGATGACATTGGTATCGCCCAGCTCCTGTGGTCAGTCATCCCATGCCATGATTTTTTTCCATGTGTCATGGTTCAGAAGGCGGTCGGGTAGCCTAGTGTTTAAAGCGTTCGCTCGTCACGCTGAAGACCCGGGTTCGATTCCCGACATGGGTACAATGTGTGAAGCCCATTTCTTGTGACCCCCGCCGTGATATTGCTGGAATATTGTTAAACAAGTGGCGTAAAACCATACTCACTCACCCACTCATGGTTCAGAAAAAGGGGTGTAATTAATTTGTTCTTTGTGTATATCTGGTTCTGATTCTGATTGCGAATGTGCACTGGTACAAGGGACCGTCTATTATACAGGAGCGCCGTATAGTACAATATTCTCTATCTCCCTTCGAGTCTTTAATATGCTAATGAATAAAGGCTAAGACTATTTAAGTTTAATGGATGTGAATGAACGTCTATATAACCCATCGTATGACTATCCCATGGAGTAGTCCTTGTGCCAAGTAGGCACGCTGGTCGCTCTAGTGGATTGGCGTAGACCCGGTGCTGGTGCTGGTGGTATCCCGTCAGGCTCCAGTGGCGTAGGGGCTCTCAGGGTCTCAGAGGCCAGTGGTGGCGACTGGATGATCGCGCGCCTCGGTGTGCCTCGTCCTTGTGTTGCTTGTCGAATGAATTAATCGGGTTGTATCTTGCGCCAGGATGTGCTTTCTGACATCAGCACCGGTGGGGTCGAGGGCCCCGTCTGCCTTGTGGGATTGCTGTCGAGGGCAGGTAGCTGCGGTGTCATGATGGGTGCCTGTACAATGATGTGGGTTGCTATGTCGTCAAAGATCAATCGGGTCATTGTGAACTCTGGTCCCCCCCCCCCCCCCCCCCCGCTCTTTTGGAGTCCCGTTCGGCACAAAGGCGCGATTATGAGGCCGGTGGTGCAACCTGTCGACGTTGAGGTGAATGGCCAGTTCGAGGTAGTGTATGCCCCTGTGTACGAAAAAGTCCGAGCACACTGCCTGTGAGGTGTATACAGCCGGGACAGGTGGGGATGGCGACACTCCAGGCTGTGATGGTTCAATCTGGTGGCGGTGTTCGCAGTTGTTCCAAGTGGCACTGACGTTGTCCGACATGCCTGGCCAGAACACAGAGGATTCTGCACGGGCGGTCATCATCGTGTAAGGTGCTCAGCACCTCGCTCAAAGTAAGGGTTGTATGACTACTCTGTCCTTGAAGGTCGTCTTGTGGCGGTCGTCCTCGTGTAGGGACACTGTGGTAACCGTTCCATGCGTCCACACTGTCTTGCGCTTCTCGTTAGGTACGCGTCTCGCCTGGTGGAATGGGGATTGGGTGTGGTGGGTCTCACGGAACGCATGCTTGTTCAAGGCTTGCCGTTCTTGTTTGTGCAGATTACCATGTGATCACACCATCTCACAGGCGTCCGATGGGTACTTCCTCCAACACGCCGAGACGAACGTCCTGGTCGAAGCTTGCTTTTACCTTGTCTTGCCAGTGTATGACCATGGGGATTGGAGTGTGACAGGCAAACGGTGTCGCCTCCTCACCAAGCATAAGACGTAGCGGTGGGCCGGTCATTCTCTGTGGTGTGGTCCCATGTTGAATGTGCTCTGAGCGGACATCCTGAGTAAGTGTTTCTGTAGTGCTTCTCCGTTGGCCTCAATGCCGAACAGGCTGCTCTGGCACACCGTGTCGGCCATGGCGGGCAGGGATACTGTGTGGGTGAGTTTCAGGAGGTCGAAACCCAGCACTCAGTGGTGAGAGTGAGGTTGACGTACGGCTGCGGGCTGGACACGCGTTTCATTCACTTATCGAACATATCATCATACAGGTGGTGATCGAGGGAGCGTGTGCATAAATCGTCGTCCGCGCTGGCCATGGCGACCGTGAATAGCTCGACGAAGGCTGCCATCTGCTCGTCGTACATATTATCGGTCTCCTCTGACAGGGGCCTAGTCGGTCGGCTGCTCAGGCACATCTTTTCGAGGCGAATCTGGCGGCCACATTTCTGGCACATTTTTCCATACCCAGGGCACTTCAGGGCGCGCCACTGAGGTTTCTTGCCGTGGCCCACCTTGCCGCAGTAGACGCATACCCCTTCGGTTTCACCAACCTGGCTCCTCCCCTGGTGCGAACGTTTTGTTGTATCCCCCGCCGATACGAACTATTGATCGCATCTGTGCTCTGAGGGTCGAGTAGGCGCGATGCCGAGCGATTTCCAGATTCCTTGGCCTCAATATACTCTATCATGTCCTTTAACGGCATGTCCTGGTTCTTTTCCCCGAGCAGGTCAAGTTGTATCCCTTGGTCCTCGATGCAGCAATCACACTGCGTAGTATCTCTTCCGTGAAGTCATTGACTTGATCTCACCCTGTCTTGGTGTATTTCATGTCATGCTTGCATGCGTGTCGTCTTGCTGTGCGTAGCTATATAGTCACAACCATCGATCGGGCACTACACATTCATAGGCGTCATCAGGACTGTTATTCTGTAGTGAATGTCGGTGATACACGCGTGTATACAGTGTTCTGCGGGCTTCGATTGGGTACGGTACCTGTCGACGTTCTCGTGGTCAGTTTGCACCTAGTCGTGTCCTCCTCAGCACTGAGTTCCATTTGTTCGATCACTTTACTTGAGAGAACCAGCTTGAAATGACAATCACTAAACAAGTTTTGGACAGGTCGAAACACAGGCGTGTTTATAATTATATCTGGTTCCGGTTCTGATTGCGCATGTGCACTGGTACAAGGGACTGTCTATTATTCAGGAGCGCAGTATAATACAATGTTCTCTAAATTGAAAAGTGACTTGAATGCTGAAACGTTAAAACGTAGCCTTATGTTCTTATTGGTTACGAACGAACGCAAGGAAAAAGAGAAAGATATTTCTGTTCAGTCCGCACACTTGGCTATTTTAACGGAACTAAGGTGACGTCAGACGTCTTTCTTTAAAACGTCACAGCACAATTGTTTCCTAGCACCCATGAGGTCAATTTCCTTCTGGCGGGTCACATAGAGATTACTACACGAGTGTCTGTCAGATACCATTTATCTTACAAGTTGTTGGAAGATGGAAATTAAATGGTGTGTGACTGACCCGAGTGCAGTAATCCGTTTCTTATACACCCTTAAATGATGGCACTTTTTTGCATCGAATCGATGCATTTCTTCTATTCTCATGATCGCAGTGGCTCAATACACAACACAACGGTCATGAGTGACGTCATCCGACGTACTGCTTACTACTCATAAACAATGTGACCATACACAATTGCGTGGAACGATGCTCATGATGTCAATCACTGGATTTTCTGGTCCAGACTCGATTATTTACAGATCGCCGTCATATAGCTAGAATATTGCAAAGTGTGGCGTTAAACAACAAACAAACAATCCATACACAATAAGGTTTATATGTGTCATATCTGTGGATTACCAAGGCGAAAATTATAATGGAAACTAGATAACATCAAAGAACCCACTGGTTGACATAGGTGAACATACGACCTGAAGCACGAGCAACTTATCAATGACAAACAATCCAGAAAGTAGCCCGTCATAATCTGACCTCAGGTCATCACCATGGAGTAGCCAATCATGAGCCTGGAGGTTTTTCTCATACATATGTTTGATACCAGCTATCTCAAATGCGTTTCTCACCCACAGGTGTATAAGAAATCAGACTGACTGTGGCCTTGCTAGTGGGTTTAGCCAATGTAATGGGTAAAAAGGAGACAGTGCATCTTTTATGCATTTTCAGTAGGGAGCTGAGTTTAACAATTATTCGTATTTACATAGCATATGCATCATATTTCTTTCTGAAATCATTATGGTTTAAATGAGGAAATCGGATGAAATATAAGAAAGTTAGTTCAAGAAAGTTAAATATCTAGTTTTACATTAATGATCGTTAATCGAGGTGACTGTAAACTTTGAAGAAAAATATATCAACTATAAACTCAATTCACTAGTCGTGGAAATATTTTCATAAACTTCATAAACTGATGTACATCATAATCAATATACAATGATGTTAGCAAAATATTGCATTAATGTACTTTCAGGTTCACATACCTTTTAAGAGTAAAGATCTGAGATATCTTATTTCTGAATTTTATCCATGAACATTTTATCCATAATACATATACGTGGTTGACAAACTATGTATATATTGCAGGAAGTGCAGATCCAAATAACACGCCTGAACAAACCGTCCATTAACAATGTTTTTCAAATGCTCAACACTGAGTTTATCAGGACAGCGAGATTGTGTCCGTGACATTATCATTTCCAGTACGGGTGCATACCTGCATGATTCAATATAAAATGACTGCTCTCTGTTTGCAGCTTAATGGATCCGTGTGCATACATATTTCAGCCCACGAAGTGAGATTATTTCAAAGAGCTGTTCTCATCTGCATGATTCAACTAAAAGTTATAGTCTCTTCTTACATACGTGGGGGAGATATTTTTATAGCAACAAGCATCTGTTTGTGAAGCGCTTACTACCGCTAAGAGATGCGTTCAAAGCTTCTCGCTTTTGATTCCCCGTTTAATGGATACGTGTGTACTGTTGTTTCAGTCCACGCGGCAGTGTACAACCAATCAGAGTCACTGTCGTAACCTAAGCAACTGCTGAAATAGAATAACATCTGCATATCAAGATATGTCATTATAAACATCACCACCGAACACTCACATCATGTTTTTCATGTCTGCAATAACGCTGTCACTGCTCTTCACCGTATCAGGAGCTAGTATCTCCAACAGAACCAAGAAAACATTAGAAAGACTGAAGACATATCTCCAAGGTGAAACTGTTATTGATGGCATCAGTACTGATCTCTCAAATGAGAAACAGGTTAACATGAGTGTGTTGCCAATGTCCATCTCCAATCTCAATGCAGCCGAACAGACATTCACTTTTAGTTTGGGGATCGCCATGACGTGGTTCGACCCTGATCTGGCTTGGAACAAAGCTGATTATGATGAAATTGAACAGGTGGCTATCTCGAAAGACTACATGTGGACACCTTCCGTGACCATCGCTAATGGCATCAACAACATTGCCCCGATTTCAAGACAATCCCCCCATCTTCATAGTGATGGAAAAGCACGACTTACAATCACTGACAGTTTCACGACCAGTTGTCAAATAGACATCGCTCTTTACCCGTTTGACCAGCAGCAATGTGACATCATGTTCATGCCTGCAAATAATTACGATCTTGGAGTTGAAACGATTGGTTCTATTATTACAATATTACCTACTTTCTTTATTAAGAACAGTGAATGGGAGTTGGTTGACATACGCGCCAAGATTGTGAACGTAAAACTGCGGCGGATACCAAATTTTGTATCATTTGAGTTTTTTCTGAAACGCAAGAGCATGTTCTATATAGTGAGTATCATCTTTCCTATGGCTCTTCTCTCTCTGCTCAACGCCTGTGTGTTCCTCCTACCAGCTGACTCCGGAGAGAAGATGTCCTACCTCATCTCAATATTTGTGTCCTATGCAGTGTTCATGAACTTCGTCAATGACTCGATCCCCAAGTCTGGAGACGTGTGTCGACTGTCTGTGTACCTGACCCTCATCCTCTGTCAGAGCTGCCTGGCTATCATCACCACCATGGCCACACTCAACGTCCGCAATAATGGTCACCTATTTCAGACCAAGACAGATGTACAGCCAGGGAACGATACATTAAACAGCAACAGCACAGCACGTCTGTATGTGATGCGTGCGTCAAAGGCCCGCCGTGCAGACCACGTTTTCTTCTGGGTGTTCCTGTTTCTGGCACTGATGTCGCTGCTGGTGTTTTGTGTATAAGGCGACATTTGTCTGGAGCCCTCACTGTGTGATGGAAGGCCTGTTTACGTTGTGTTATAAGCATTTTAAACGTGGGATGTGTGGTGATTTAATGTGAAAACACACACACACACACACACACACACACACACACACACACACACACACACACACACACATACACACACACACACACACATACACACGACACTCAATGAGAGAAACATGATATTTCACTTGATACATGAAATATCCTCTGTTTATTTGTCTTAGTATCGGCATATGAGTTTCAAAAAGTATATTACATTGAGGTTAACCGGGAGTTTTTACAACTTTCATTATAATGTTAACAAATTTACATAGTTTCTTTGGACAGATGTCTAATGGCAGTTAAATATTTCCTGGAGTTGTAACATATTTTGTCTTTCTTTTTTGTGTTTTAGGATGTAGATTTTTGTTTATTGACATATTTTGAAAATATTAAGGAACTGATCTCCAATGTCAAAACTAACATAAACGTTCATTCAACGGAGTTTTATTCCATCTTCGGGAGGCGATGACAAGATGTTCAAAAGAATAGTAATTTAAAGGATAGGTGTGGAGGAATATTAAATATGTTTCAAGTTTATTGGCGATTTTTAAAAATATGATATGTGGAGCATTAACTAGAATTTGAAATTTATCGCCAAGATTGCCAATATGTATCAGAGAGAGCTTTGGCTTTGTTTCATAACCAAGTGTCACCAAAGCAACGGGTACGGGGTGGGTACACGAAAGATCATAATCAAACTAAACCTGGGAGCCCACAAACAGTAATTTCTATGGGGCTTAACTCTCCAAGTGAATTGCAGTACTTCAAACAACACAATGTGACACGAAAATGTTTAATTTACTTGTACTAATTATTGTGAATTGGGTTCATGTCAACTTTCTACCTTTCTGTTTGACCCGTTTTAACCCAACCTTTAGAAAACATTATGTGATGTGCTTAATCCTGTTCTATCATCTTCTAAATCCGGGCAATTCTAATATTTTTGTCTACATGTGAACTTTGGATGAATGCATAAAATGTCAAAGTTCATGGAGGGTGTCATGTTGTTTATTTTCCCCACTGTTTGCATATCGAAGACCACGAGCAGTATCTGCCAAGGGAAGGACATTTCATGGAATTCTTGCTTTACCAAACCAGTTGAAGAGTCCATCGACTCAAGCAGTTTTTGCTAACAATATCATGTTAACACATGGTCGGTTATCTGTCAGTTGTAATTTTTAACTTTTACTACAAGAAGTAAATTCTTAATCTATGCTGTTCAGTATTTCTTAAACGTGTGCGGTAAACAAAAGATGGATCAAACACTAGTCAGTCAAACAAAACTGTATACTATAATAGGAATGATCCCATTGGTCAAGGAACTCATCTTGTCATACTTATCCACTGCTAATCGTTGGATACATAGTCAACGATTATGTGGTGGGCGATCATGAAACTGTAATCTGCATGAAAACATTCAACAAAATTATCAAACCCAATGAAACACCGATCCTTATCACATGCGTGAGAGTTATGTTCAGATCAAGTATATAACAGGCGGTACGTCTGTGCACAGGTGCTGCACGGGCAGTCCACATAAAATAGAATATTAAAAGGTATGTCTGCACTCATGAACGTTCCCAAGCAGTATTCCTTTAGTTAAATTAAAGAGTATCTCCTGGAGGAATTCCTGCTGTCAGATGGTCAACTTGTCAAACAAATGTGTCGTCTGGTGAAGGTGTTGCAACCTGTCCTAGCTTAATTTATGCCACTTTCATCTTCCTAAAAGTGACCAAACCCTTTCAATAACCATAAGAACAACAGGTGTTCGCGGAGTGAGTGATTGAGTATGGTATTACGCCGCCTTTAGCAATATTCCAGCAATACGACAGCAGGGGACACCAGAAATGGTCTACACACATTGTACCCATGTCGGGAAACGAACCCGGGTCTGCGGCGTGACGAGCGAATGCTTTAACCACTGGGTTACCTGACCGCCCCAGGGGGGTTCGCGGAAAGGTAAGTGTATCCTGACCCACTGATGGCATCCGACACAAACGCGTGCAAAGGCAAGTCACGCAATCACCTAATATATACGATAACATAGGGAATTGTATCGGACATAAATGGTTGTAAAATCTTAACAGTCCTTCGTATTTCGATAGCTTTACTAAAACCTTGAATGTTGTAACTCTGATCACACAATCTTTGAGGCATGTTGAAATCTTCACAGAGAGCGCATGTTTGATTGTATCTCACAAGTTACGGGATGCCGACACCAAGGGCTTGAGCTGCTACAATATTTGCTCAACGTAAAGTTTGGTTGCTTGGTTTGTTGTTTAACGCCGCACTTAGCAATATTCCAGCTATATGACGGCGGTCTGTAAATCATCGAGTCTGGACCAGACAATCCAGTGATTAATATCATGAGCATCGATCCACGCAATTGGGACCGATGACATGTATTAACCAAGTCAGCGAGCCTGACCACCCGATCCCTTTAGTCGCCTTTTATTACAAGCATAGTCGCCTTTTATTACAAGCATAGTCACCTTTTACGGAAAGCATGGGTTGCTGAAGATTCTTGAAGGGGGTTAAAGTACTGTAACATTATTGTCCCCCTGAAAGAGTGCGTAAGTTCCACATCATTCAAAGTACATTTGGGTCTACCCCATTTTTAATCGTAGCATATTTGTTAGTTTTAATTGATAGCTACAATTGCCTATAATCGCCAGCGGCTGACGGCATGGTGTAAATCCTGCTGGGGAGCCGTGAAGAAAGCAGAAGTATTGTAAGTCCCCACGGTCCCTAGTATGGTGGCCTAACTTTGGATGCTGGCGATCTCTAGCTCGTTTTTATCATGTATTATTATGTATTGTAATAACGTTTTATCCTTCCATACTAGTTTTAAATATGTCTGTGACACTCTAGTTATTTTACAGTCCTTTGCTGACAGGTATTTTAGAAAGTTTACACATATTTTGTATGGATGTTTAAATTGTTGTAGTCACGATATGGCTGAAATACTGCCGATGTGACTGTAAATCTTAACTCACCCACTCACTCTTTGACAATCTTATGTGGTGGTGAGGCTTCCTACCACATGTTGCATCAACCTTTCGTCGGAGGAAACATCTGCCTGATGGAACTGCATTGCACAGGGAATTAAGTAAACCAAGCAACGACTGCATTTCCTATAATCTAACCTTTGAATGTGCCAAAATATTATCTATACCATCTAACGAATAACAGAGCTTCGCCTGCGGCACACGTACACACATGTTGACCGAGTCTAGTTCCAAGCCTAAAAATGTCAGGTACACCAAGATCAGCACATACCGAAATGAATGAATCCAGAGCGATTTGGCAGTGGTTTGTAGCTGTTTTACCCCCCAAAAGGAAGTCCTCAAGATAATGCATGCTTTTGCCAATGCTGAATCTTTGTGCTGAAAGCAATTCAATAAAAGTTGAAAATCTTTCAAACAAACAGCAACTTGCTGAACAACCCATTGGTAAACATTTGTCAAAGTAAAATTTGTTTTCCAAAGTAAAACTTAATAACCTGAAGTCTCCTGGCCAGATAGGCATTAAGCGAAAAGCACTCTTTACATCTGCTTTAGCCAGCAAAGCTCCCTGCCCTAGCTGCTGAACCCTTTTAACTGCCTGGTCAAATGTAGTGTACTGAACTGAAGACAAACTTTCATCAATAAAATAATTTATCTTCTGTCCTTCTGGAAAAGATAGGTGGTGTATTAATCTATAATCTCCTGGAGTGCTCTTAGGGACCAATCCGAGCGGTGAAACCTTAAAATGTGGTAGAGGAGGGAAGTCAAATGGACCTGCAATTCTACCCAAGTCAAACCCTTTGTGGATTTTTAAGTGTGACATAAGTTGATTATTTTCAACAGATTTGAGATTTCTTGCCATAGAACCTACCACTGGACCATCATATACTAGCTGGAAGCCGTATTCGAAACCATTAACGAGAAACTGAGCTTGTGCCTGATCCGGAAAATGCTTTGCTATACGTTCCAGCACCCGTGTCTTGACTGGTGTTCGATCGAGCTTGTATAACTCTGGAAGGAGTGTTGGCAGATATACATCTGCAGGCTGAATGGGCATCGCTTCCCCATGCGGAACAGCTGTGTCGGTACTTGCACTTTTGTCTAAAGCACTTGCTCTGATTGAAGTTGTTACATGTGTTGTTTGCCGGTCGTTGTAATTTGCCCTGAAATGTGCAGAAAACCAAGAACTGACCTGTTGATGGTAAGGTGTCTGTACAAACAACATCCACAATTCCACATTCAATTTTCCCCATGGTAGAGACTGGTCACGAGCCTGGCGAAGACCATATTGTTCATCCATCCCAAACCAGTGTGACGAGACGCTGCTAAACGGACAGTATTTCAGTAAACCTTGTACCATGTCCGTCCTGCGCTGGACATAAATACTCATGTAGGTTGTGAAAGCCGTTCAATCAAAAATGACTCAATTCTCTTGCCTTGAGACTTGGGCCTCAACTCCAGCTGTCCATCTGTGCTGATGAATACTGCCGAAGTTGTCATATAATCCATCAAATCTCTGTCTGGTTTGAGCAATAGTGTGAAATTGATGTACTCACCATTTCATATTTTGTTTTTAATGTTGACAGAGACATTACAACCCAGGTTTGTGTGGTTGTAGGTAGTGGCATATTTAACATGTCAACATTTTGAAACATGGGAATGCCTTGCGAATCATGAGGAGCAATTGCGTTACTAACCATGCTAGGAGCATGGTTATGATACTGGGATTGAGGGACATGATTTGAAATTCAGGGAGGATAAATTTGTTAGTTAACTGATGGGGTATATGCATTATTAGGATAAAAACCAATTTGCACCGACTCACCTCCTGAAGGAGTAGTGGTAACAGGCGTTATCTCGTCGATAGCCTCTGGGACCACGTGGACCTCTGCTTCGGCCATGCTGCTGTACTGTGCTGTCGAAAA